GAGGTAGGTTGAATATATTTTGTCTGGTAAAATTTCCCTGAATGATTATTATGAACCTAATAAAAATAAAGGCAGAGGTGCTGCGAGAATGAACAATGGAACTTGAAGTAAAGTTGCCTGGTGTGTTTGAGGTTGCTCTCACAGAGTCTTTCTCCACCCAGGAGTAGTTATGGGTGTTGCCTATTTTTAATTAGAAACTATACAAAATTATGGGGACAAGTTACCCAACAATGGACTGGTGTCCCATCAAGAAGGATTAGGAATATTCTGTGTCATTTCCCAGGTTCTGATAGCCAGATATAATCTTTGGCATGATGTTGTTTGGGGCCAGTTTATTATCTGGCAAACAGTAGATGAGAACAGAAACTGATCAGCTGATTTTCCCAAATTACCTGAAGTATTTCATGTACTGTACTGTTGAATGAAATGGACAGCAGTTACATGTTGAATGGACAATGAAGAATTTTCATTTGAGGTGTCAAGGTGACCAGTCAGGAGCTGAGGCTGTTTTTTTTTGGTTTCACTTTACTGCTGTGATGATATTCAGTCAGGTTTTTACACTAAAGAGTCAAAACAGTCAGTACTACAGATGATGTTCCTTTTCTTGAGGCTGCCCCCTTGTCGAGACTATGTTGTCTCCAGGGAACTGCATAACTCCTTCATTACAAGTATAATGCTACGCAACGTGCACTACTTATGCCTAAAGGTTCGTCGTTTTTATCTCCTCACAATAGGTAAAAATGGCACTGCACCAAGTAAGTCAATCCCATTAGTGTGCTGCGGTGATCTTAACTCACTCCCTGAATCAGGGGTAGTTGAGTTCCTGGACAATGGGAGAGTCCGGATTGACCATGGTGACTTCTTGGACATGAAATATGATGGATTTCTATCACGCCTCAGCAATGGCAAAAACGGAGAAAAGTGTGGAGACCTTACCCACTGCTTCAAGCTCCAACGGGCCTACTCTGAAGACCAGATGTCTTACAGCAACCTTACGTATTCATTCACAGGTGTGATTGATTATATCCATTACACATCTGACCTTCTCGTTCCACTTGGCGTACTCGGCTCTGTCAGTCAGGATTACATCAAAGGGAACAAAATCATCGGATGGCCACACCCACATTTCCCGTCAGACCACCAGTCACTGCTCGTGGAATTCGAGGCTTTAAGCTTCAGCAATGGGGTACCTGTTTATGGGTACATTCCAAGCTCTCACCATCCCAGGTAGTGTTAGATTCTCGCGTGATAACAATGTTGTAAATTTGTAACAAAAGAGTTGTAAAGAGGCTGAGTTGAAGCAAGCCATTTTTAAGGATCTAGTCACTAGACGTGTTTTGTATTCTACCAGGAAAATGTTCACCGGCATATTTTCCCTTGATTCGGTTTTATAGACCTTTTTGACTTTTGTTTTGGTAAAAGGAGAATGGGAGCTGCTTTAGAGTTTAAATAGTTGGTTGCCAGATGTAGTGCTGTACGTACAACTTCAGGTGTGAAGCAATATTGTTCGGCTTTAATTTAATTTATCTATTTCGACAGTAATTTATTGAGTTAGCCCAGTAGTGTTCATTATAATATATTGCAATTCATTGTTAACTATAATATGTGGCCTAAGCGTGATATTTAATTTCTTTAATAATTCGCAATTCTTTTGCAAACCATGGGCGGTCAAAACGTGCTGTAAGACGTAAATGCCACACAAATAGAGTTATCCTCTATATAAGAGCTATTTTAAAAAGAACTTGAATTTATCAAAAAAAGGCAGGTAGTGAAAATTATAGTTTTCATTCCCATATCCCATCTTGTGTCTAGCCTTTAATGGCATTTTTCAATGGATGCAGAAATTGTGCAACTTATTTCAGACGAGCTCGTTCACTTACAAAATGTTCGTAATCTTCCACTTGTCGCTTAGAATTAAACAGTCTTCGATGCTGTTGTTGCAGTTGCATTGTACTTGCACATAAGACTAAATTGACACGTATAAGCGTCTTTGCTGTATGTACACGACATTGTACAATATCATCTCAACAAATACATTCGTGAACTATATCTTAACCAACTTGCTAAAACACTTTAATTTTCCTTTACCAGCAGCTTAACTCGACATTTTATTTTGGCGTTTTCATTTTGACTTCCTTCTGTTCTTGGAGATTAAATGTGTACTATGCGTTGAATAATTTGGAAGGAGGTTGTGGGGGACTTAAACAAACTGTCTTGCATTACCTCCCACTATCTTCTCGAAAATAGTCATTTTTCAAAGATCCTATTTCCGTTTTAGTGAAGATCACAATTTATATGATTCTTTTAGTTTTGTTTTAGATTTTGTTGTTTTGTGCTTTTTTCCCGATTCTTTTTCTCTTCACCTATAGTTCGGAAATCATCTGAATATGCAGCCACGAACTATATAAACGCCTCACACAAAATGCTTCAGTTTACGTGCAATACCTGCATAATCGATTTTCATTTGTAGATCTTAGCAAGGTTTCATGTACGATACTGTGCATGTAACATATTACATATAGAGCGTCAGGTTATATAAACTTTGTACATATTCTACCCATGTGAAGCTTCATCCAATCATCTTTCAGCTTTTGACAGAGCGATTCACACACGATTGACATGTTGCGTGGCGTGTGTAGAACCATACATGTCACGTAAAAAGAAGCATTCTGGTAGCTTTCGGCAGATTTGCACGAAAAGCTGAAAAGAGCTAAACGGTTCTGGATTTGCTTTACATGGTTGGAATAAGTGTATTAACAGTTTTTTTTTTCTCCACGAAAGAGAAGGAAGGTTGTATCGTAAAGCGTTTTCATAGTAATATTTATGTGTAGTAAACTAGAGTTTTATTTAGAGTTGTTTAGTCAGTCAATGCGCTGAAAACATACATGCAACTTACTTAAGGCAACTGGTATAATTACCGCGAACGAAACCTCTTCATATCGATCAACAATTTCAATTTCATCACGTTGATGACGCTTCTGTTTGCTCGTGGTCCAAGAACAATCAAGTAACTCAGTTGTGGACTTCTTTTCTCCTTCTCATTTGCCTTTCAAACGCATGTTCACGTTTTCAGATGTGAGTAATCCGCCCTCTAGTGGCTGCCTGTTGTCGGAAATTCTTTTAATAACAGCTTTTAGAGCTCAATTTATTTTACAGTATGGTGTATTATAAAAACGTGTGATAAATTACAGTCCCTTCAACGTTTGTTATATGTGTGGGTGTTCATAACACCCCATCATTGTTACCTTAAAGGACCTGAAATCAGTGTATGGTAAAGTATTACTAGAGGACGAAGGCATATAGATTGTTAGTGAAGCGGAATAATAGGGTGGAAGGTGCTGATTCTTCAGCACAGTTGGTGCAAGTTGAGTCCAACACTGGACCATATGGGAGACAGGATGAAGTATCCTGAGGGATGAAATGGTTATTTGTATTCATCTGTTCTGGCTGGTCAATGAGAGATGTCTGTGTTGTTTCATGACTATTTTGTAATGGTTTCTTTTATCGTGTAATGCATTCAACTAAAACTTAGTTGTCAATTTTCAACCCGCTTGGTTATTTTAATCTCCAGTGCAGCGGAGATAATGAATAATTGATCTGTTTGGTTTGGTTAAATCATTATGGCTAGCTATTTATAGCCGTGTAGAGGAATTTATCAAAATTTCAGATGTCATTTCATTTTGCAGTATGTCATCACAATTACAATGAAACATCCAACCTTTTTCAATGACCAGTAAAACATTGGGAGCATTATTTTGTTTTACCTACACAATTTTGCCAAAAAACGTTTTTGTTTTTCTCATGAGTGACAAAATTCGCACACTGTCATTAGTATTGCAGTATATTTTGTGCAGTTTTGGAGGGGGTGAACTTGATTTTCATCACGGTGGACTATTTTTGAACGTGTTTCATAGTGTGGTACGTACACTGGGTGGGGCTAACTTGGACTGGCTTTTTATATTCCAAATAAAAGTGTGCGACTTTTGTTTTATTAGTTTTACACTGTGCAGTTCTTGCTTTTTTTGATCACCATTTGTAGTTTACAGTGAGGTGGTAGGTTTGTAGACCGGTTACAAGGGTTATTGTAGATTGTAACTCGTACTTTTTAACAGAAACTGGCATTTATGAGAAAAACGGTAAACTACTGGAATAAAATCAGTGAACAAAGTCAGCTTGGAATTTATCTCGTCTAATTTGTTTTTATTTTTGTTTTGTCTGTGTGTGGCTTGTTTTTGGTTGGTTGTTTCTTTGTCAGATAACAATGAAGAAATGTAAAATGGTTTCCGTGTTTACATAGCCTAATGTAAACACGCGGGAGGTTGGGAGAACACGAGATAAGCGTAGGAAACCACGACGCGAAGCGGAGTGGTTTCCAGCTTATCATAATTCGAGAATTCGTAATCATAATTCGTAAACACGGAAACCATTTTACAATTCTTTTATAAAATAACTAATGAAAGGGGAACGAAAACCGTGTTTACATACACTCATGTAAAATGGTTTTATGGCTAATCAAAGCGCGCGTACTATTTGAATTATTTTATAATTTATTATCTTAAAATTGGTTCCAGAAAAGAATTTTTGCAAGCACTTGAGAGGGAACGAAATTATCCTTAATGTAAGGATATTAGCTACAGACTAATCAGTTGATTTAGTATGTAGAGTTGAACTTAAATATTTGAATTTTGACAGTAAAGACGACTGTCCTTTGTCTTCTCATGGAATCGAGTTAGAAAGGACGTTGATTCCTTTCTCTACCTCCTCCCCCTTCCCACCCACACACCGTTTCCTCAATCTCAAACTAATCGTGGGCCAAACAGTAATAAAGGTGACTGCAACAGAATGACTTTTCATTCAGAAAAGTCAGGGCCAGTGCTCCATAATCTAAATCAAACTCACATCAGTAGGTGAAGGACCGGTCCTTATATCAAGATCGCGCGAAGCACCGCGGGAAATGTATATTTTTTTTACCAGTCCCCCCTCTTCCTGTAGTTCGAGTTGGCATGTATAGTCGGTACAAACTTAACATTTTTTTTATTGCGGTAGTTTGAGGGTTTCGAGTAAACTGCATGTCAACAGGACAGCATCTTCGAGTTGAAGTCGTGGGACAGAAAAACTAACGATTCATCAAGAAGTTATTCACCGTTGCCCATTTTTCCCAACGTTGTTAATCAATTCTCGAAGCTTCCATTTGATTGTTTGACCTGCTGCAAGTCGTGTTGAGTAAATCGTAACAGACCGGTTTCGAGATTTGGGAAGCACCGATTGTAACGTTCCTTTTCGTTCAGGATCAGGGGCAAATACAAGGGCATAGAGAGGTAAAATACTACCAAGAAATTCATATTGTCTTTGTGGAATTTGCTTTCTCATTAAATATGTTATTACTCCAATCAAGTGATGACGATCAATGTCTTCTTGAGCATTAGTATGACTTTATTCAGTATACTTTAATCCCTCCCATTGTGAATTTGAGTTATGGCTTTCTCTATCCAGAGGCTTTTGTTTCCGAAATGATTTGAAACGGGACCAAGCACTGTGTAGATTTTGTATTTGAGTTCGGAGCTTAGCGCTGATATTGATGCAGGTCATCGTAGTTATTAAGTAAATAGATCAAACGTTGCCATAATCAATTTTTAGCTCTTTGTAACGATTCTAAGTTTAAGGCCTATACTTGAAATAAGTCCTTTATCACGCTTTTCATAGAAATTTAAACAAATCGAAAGAAAATTCCCAGTTTATTGGGAAATGATGAGTATGCAAGGAAAAAAGCAGCTGCAGTCAGCTGCAGTGAAGTTTAAAACATGTCGAACCAGAGAAACTAACTAATGACAAGAGGTATGCTATCAAAAAATCCAACAAAATTCCTCGATTTCAAAGATTGCTTAGATTGAAGTTTGATACTTAAAACAATGATCCATATGTTTGATTGATTGAGACCCTCAGTTTTGTTGAATTTTTCTGTATATTTTCTTCTACAATATCAATTACTTGGCTAGCATCTATTAATTCATTTGATTAATCAATACTGATACCAAATAACTGCCTTGTGCAATATTTATGAAGGCTAAAGTAGGTCACAGTGACTTTTCAGCACAGGAGTGCTTGTAAAAATCACATTTAAGTTATTGTGAACCTTAAAATATTTGAAAACATATAAATTTCAATTTTCCTTCTAGGAATACAAATTGAACAAGAAATGAGTTACCCACCACCTTCCCCAGGGGGCTATCCAATGTATGGGGCTCCTCCAATGCCAGGAGGGGGGTCCCAGTATCCAGCACCAGGTCCAGCCTTAGGATTTGACAGCATAGCTAACCAACCTCCAATGGGGACCCCTGGGGTATGTATGTAATTATGAAGAACCAGGGCTGGGTTGTTCAAAGCTGACTTAAGATAATACAGTGTTATTGTGGAATTTGTTTTTATATCTGAAAGCTTTGAAAATAAATTCATTTCAATTCTTTTTGTGTAATTTGATGATTGAATGCTCTAAAGAGAGTTGAGAAAATTATCCCAAAAAGGCTCTTGAATTAAGAAATAATGAAACCTGGATCAAAATTTTACCCTGGGGTAGAGCCAATCTGGCTTTGAACAACTGGGTCCAGAGTGCAAGCTACTCTATTATTATGCACTGTGAAAAAACAACTATTGTGTGGGCTTTCATTGCTCACAGAGTGTACAGCTCTATTGATCAGTGATCCTATTTGAAAGGTGGATATTGGTATGTGAATAAATTACTCTCGAATGGATAATTAAGTTTGTTTTGTCAGCACTTAATATATGACAGCATTGTGTTTATCTACTCTCAAGCATCATTTATTAACTGGATAGCAGTAACTAATAACATGGGCCGGAGACAGTCTACAATTACAGTCCTGTAATTATCAAAAATCTCATTCATGAAAGATTGTTCAGCTTCCTTGAAGAAGAGCTTGCTATTCATGATCTGTTATGTTCACATCTCGAGAGTCAGAATAGTTTAGAGGAAGGGTCTCCAAGCAAAAGGCTCAGATTTTTTCACATTGATAGCCTATGCCAAGCATTTTAAGAGATTTTTGCTTTTGCTTGCCATTGGGCAATAATTATTGCAGTTATTGTGATAACTGTCAGTGATCAATTATCTATGTTACACTCAGTACCCACCTTCTGGACCACCAATGCCTATGCCAACTGCTGGAGGACCTACTGGTATGTATCCTGGAATGTCAAGCCATATGCCACCAGGAATGTCCCGTCAAATGCCACCAGGTATGTTGAAAACTCCCTTTTAGTCATGCCACCTGGTTTAAAGCCTTTTTGGGCAATATTTTACAGCAGATATTCTCTTTAAAGTTTCCTTTCTACCTATTTCAAGGTCAATAGGTACATGTGTAACATGTATCCCTATTCTAACAGACTTAAGTAGGATCAAAATTTCTACTTAAAATTGAGCTTTGGGTAGGTTTTCTTTTCTTGGGTCAGACACTTAACACTTGCAGTTCCTTTCCAGACCCTAGAATAAAAATGGGTATCAGTGAATTGTTGGGAAAACTTGACTACATGTGGGAGGTAACCTGTGATGGACTAACATCTAGGAGGAGAGGATTCTCCTTATATTTCTTTGTGCTTTAGAAATTAGAATGAGTTACAACTGCAACTAGGTCCATATCAGTCTCCTATGCAGATTTTACCCATCCTTTTTTACTAATTTTTTTCAATGTTGTTGAAAGGGATTTTATGGTAATCTGTGCTACAGGTTAGGAATCTTTAGTTTGTTGCTGTTAGTTCTGTAAATTAAAATGGCCAATTTAGATGCAAATTTGTTAACAGCTAAATTTATATTGTATGTGACTTTACACCATTCCCTCAATGACTGAATCTCCAAGTTTCTCTTAGTTGTAATGATTGACTTAGCCAAAATATTTGAATACAATTAAAATAAATGTACTTTTTTAAATACAATTATGTTCTTTTTCCCGTAATTTGGTTCACAACTAAAAGATCTTATAATCTTGTTATCAAGTTGTTTTAATTTTCAATTGATATCCTTTTGACTTCTTCCTTGTCTGTACTGATGTCAGGTATGCCTGTTCCAAGCCCTAATGTTGGCATGCCAGCTCCTGTGCCACCCACAGCTGGTGTGTATGGATCAGCAGGACCATCTATGCCACAGCCTGGATATCCTTCTGGTAATTTATCATTTGGGGTAAGAATCAGTTGTTGGACCTACTGACAGAACTTTATATAAAATGCTCTAGTCGTGTGTTTTTCATTTTCACAAGTAAATGAAAAAAAATCACATTTTGTTGTTTTCTCCCTTATTTCAATTTTAGGGTGCAGCAATGGCCACTGCAGCATTTCCATCTCACTACAGGAGTCAATTTGGTCCTCCTCAGCCCCAGCCTAATTTACCCATGGTGAGTTTTAGTATCATAATCTGGCTAGTGATGTCCAACTATTGCTTTCTTGTGTCCAGTAGTCCAAATAACTTTTAATATTTGGCAACTTATAGCAGATTTAAGGCTGATCTAATTTTGTAGCTGATAGTGTTACTAGTCATTATGTGAAATAATTAGGATCTTCTTTTGTGCCAAATTCAACAACAAACTTTTTGCTCTGAAAAAGATGGAGGGTTTAAAACATTTCATTTTGGGTTGTATGTTTTTGTGAAGGGTCCACCCCCAAGTTTTCCTCCATCAGCTCCAGCTATGCCAGTGCAGCCAAGTGCACCACCACCTGCTGGTCCAGGAGGTTCATCAACTGCGACAACATATTCCTCATCGTCCTCACACTCGTCTTCCTACTCATCCCACTCTTCTTCTTCTTCTGTGAGTTCCAGCTCAAGCACGAAGGTACTCAGGAATATGTTATACAATTATATATACTGGGTGGAGTTGAGCATAAAGGCAAGAACTGCCTTGGCTGAGGTTGGTTTTGTCTGCTGGAGCAAAAGCTTGCACCAGATAATGCAATCATGGTATGGGGGCTGGGGGTCATGTTTTTTGCTGAAGCCTAAGGCCGAAGGGGATGACACAAATATTAATGTCTTGGGGTATAACAAAAGGAACAAAAAATAGAAGATGAAAAAGAAGAAAGTGCCAGAACAAATTACGTTTTGTTTATTATCTTGTGGATATTTTTCTATCCTTTGAATGAGGGGGTGATTCTTTCATTGCCTCTTGTTTTTGTTTTTTTTTCTTTATACATACATGTTTGTTTGCTTGTTTGCTTTTCTTTTTCAGTAAATGAATTATTTTTTTCCAACAGCAGCCAAGAGGGCGACCATCCATCAAGGAGCTTGCCAATTTTGATGCGCAGAAAGATGCTGAAGTACTGCGGAATGCAATGAAAGGCCTAGGTGAATATAGACAATAAGTAGTATTGTTTCACAACACTATAGACAGTCTATTGTTGTTTAAATTAAATCTAATATTTTGACAGGCCACTATAAAATTTAAAAATTAATAAGAAAAAAGAAGTTCCTCTCATTACATGTGCATTTTTTTTTGTATGAAGTTAAAAATGAAAGACATGAATTCAAGGATCAGTATAATAAGAAACAAATTGAAAATATTACTTGCACATAATAGTTGTACTGAAACTGTGTGTTAAGTGCTGATGTTCAATGGAAGATATTTAAGAATGGTTTACTTAAATTTTGGGGTGAGTCAAAATTATAAGTGTCTCTGAATTTCATTAAAAATACCTTTAATTTACTATTTTAGTTTCAAATTTTTTAATGCTTTTATCTGTCTTTTCTGTAATCTTTTAAGAATGTTTTTGTGGCGTTTGGGACGATGGATAAATGGTTTATCAAAGAAAAAAGGAAAAATCAAAACCTTTGGAGCTTGATTGTGTGTTCAACCATTAGCTTCTGAAGTCGTTTTAACTTCCACTAAGTATTTTATAGGTCAAAATAAATTTTCCTCCATTTATCTGTAGGCTGTGATTCTAAAGCCATCACTGGTCTTTTATGTACAAGAACAAATGTTCAGAGGCAGAAAATTGAGTTGGAATACAAAACGATGTATGGAAGGGTAAGTTCTGTTTTATGACATGTTAAAGAGTTAAACAAAAAAAAAAACTCAAAAGAATTAAGAATTAGAAGCCCAGGGCTAAGGATAGCATTAGCATTAGCGTGAAATTATTCTTCACTTTGATTACTCATCGTTTTTAACCCTTAAACTCCCAAAATCTGATATTCAATTCTCCCCTCGAGCAGCCAAACATTTCCTAATGAATTAGTTACGAGAGTTTGGTGTTCGATCAAGATATCAAATTCTACCTGAAAGTTTGAATATTCTCATGACTTGTTTGCTGGATAATGTCTGAATATTAAAAGGAGAAGTTGCAGGTTAATCACGTCCGCGAGATGTGATTTTCGTAATAGCTTCCGTAAGAGTTGTCAGTGTCCTCTCGCACTGGGTAAATAGCCACTATGGGGCTGATCATTTTACCTGGCTCTGTAATAGGAGAAATATCCTTATATAATTCTGTATTGAACGGATGTCTTTCTCGGGCGTAGTCCTTTGTTCTACAGTCACGTTCGTCTTAAGCGCCATTTTATTGAGATCATTTATGTGGCGTATTTCTTACTTGTCTAAGAGTCTATTATTTGTAAACATACTGTAATATCCTGGCGGAGCCGTCACGTTAGGAGAATGTTTAAAAAATGTCGCCTTTTCCAGTGCTTCAGGATCTTTTCATCCTTGACCATCATCAGTCAGTTTGCCTTAAGTTTTTGACTTTTTGGTTTCTTTCCTCAGTTTTTTGCTAATGAACTTAAGGGCAATCTGCAAAGTGCCCTTAAACTTATATCGTTTTGTTTGCAGGATCTTTTGAAGGATCTTAAGTATGAACTGGGTGGTAATTTTGAGACTATTGTCATTGCTCTCATGATGCCGTCGGCAGACTACGATGCAACGTCGCTGAGGAAAGCGATTAAGGTGTGTTTTGTGAGCTTACTCATTAGACGCTGATAATGTGTTGATCAAGTTAGATAATGATTAATTGGGCAAGCCCCCGGGCATTTGAACTTTTGGAGATTGGTTCGTTCAAATTCCCGTCCCGTGGGGCCAAAATTGTGTTCAAATGCCCTACCCAAGTGCTAGATTTGATGTTCATATTTTGTAAAAGGCAGCATGTGCGTCTAGTCATTGGCCAAGCTTTATAACCTAGACCTTGTTCACACTTTCTCCTGATTCATTTGCACGCGAAAGTGGACACTTTACCTTCAGACACCTCCACATTTTAAAGATAAAACACGTTTATTCCGCATGAAAGACTCAACGCTGCTGATTCAAATTCCCTACCGCTTGGGCACAGATGACAGTCAAATGCCCGAGGGTTGCGCTGGGAGAGGATTTTGATATTGAACCGTTCTGATGAACTGAATGACACCAATTTCTGGTACGCTCTTCTAGGGTATCGGAACAGACGAAAGCGTGTTGATTGAAATTTTGTGTACAAGAACCAACGCAGAGATCGTTGCCATCAAGCAGTCCTACCAGCGGAGTGAGTTTAAGCTTCTACAATTTACGTTGTTAATAAATTTCTTCATTTCATTAAGACATGGTTAACTTTTAAAACTGTTTGAAAAGCGCCATAACTGGCGAGAAAGTGTACTCTACATGGGGCAGTAGACTTCCACATCGAATTATGAGATAGGTCGTAGAGAAAAAAATGACACAGAACTCTCTCCGTTTGCCACATTCAAATTTCGAGTGAGCATGTTGTTTACACTTCAGCATCATTTTGGATCCGTACGTTGATAACAGTTACGTATTCCAGCAATGGTTTGTTTGGAATAGTTTGACTGAAGCCTTTTTTTTTTTCGTTTGCCTTCTTTTCTGGAAGTCTTCAGTAGAGATTTGGAGAAAGATGTGGCAGGAGATACCTCTGGCCATTTCAAGAAGTTTCTCATCTCTTTGCTACAGGTGCGTGGATGAGATAAACCTTGAACAAATGATTTGTGCCGCACTGGCAGAGTCTTTTGAGACATATATAAGTCTGTTTGTTAGGCTGTCGAATTACTCATTAACCGTGAATTTTGATTCCTTTGTTTTTCATGGTTTTTTAGGCTTACAGAGACGAAAGCCAAACAGTTGATTTGGCTAAAGCGGCAGCGGACGCGCAGGTTTGACCATTTTAGTCCTTTGCAATAATTGAATTAAATCCTAGTAGGTCAGGGTATTTGGGGGGTGATAGGCCAAGATGCAGATGGCCTGTTGTCATGCTCAAACATGACTGTAACCGTAACATATTTACGGAAGCCGCTTTATGAACTGCTCTTGGCTCCGTTCAGATAACTCGGCTGTCGAAAGCTTCATTTTGTTTAATTTGTGCACTGACCTTTCTCTTTCGTTAACTGACACTTGTTGCTGCATTAAGGTACTCATAGTTGGCCCCTGTCAGATTAATCCTTTAAAGGTTTTTTAAAAACAGTATAAAATTTTTTCATCTTCGCCATTTGTAAGTTCTGTAAACTTTTGCAGCCTTAACCACCCCTCCCCCTGGGACCTCTGAGAAACGAGTCCTAGGGCCGAAGTTTTCTGTTTCTTTATAGCTAAGCGAAAAGGAGTCTGTCACCTGTCATTTGTATTCAGCTCCTTTAGCTGTGAAAGCTTAATCATAAATGCTCGGCAGCAAGAATAACCTCACGAACATATTGAATGCAGGTTTTGTATAAAGCCGGTGAAGCCAGATGGGGCACAGATGAATCAAAGTAAGTTCATTGGAGTGAATTATTCTGTTTTGTACCATGCTTGTGACTTTTACTCCAGTCACGCGTTCAAAGACTTTACACGTTTTAGTTTTCGTTTTCAGATTTAATACCATTCTTGTGTCAAGAAGCTTCCCTCAGTTGAAAGCCACTTTTGATGAATACTCTAAGGTCAGCTAGTCATCGTAGTCTAGGTTGGGTTCTTTATAAGTGCCGTTTTTAACACAGCGGTTAAACGTTGGGCATGCACACCGAAATCATATTTAGCGCACCAATTTCCAGCGCAAAATCTCAAAAGAAAACAAGATACAGCCACTGTCGCAGCCAGAGAGCACACTACCTAACCATCACACCGTTGACATCTGCGCAGACGTTGGACTGCTGTGTTACCGCTTTCCATTTGCAAGAACTGATCGGATTTAATGTCCTGGCGATAAGCCTTTTTCACTGAAACACCTGTATGCAAATTCTCTATACTCTTCTCAATACATTACCTAAGGTATTGAGAAGTTGTTATTCAAAATGATAAGTTGTCCAACAACGAACAGCTAAGTTTAACAGAAAGGGACCCCATCTCACACGCTCGTGCAGTGCGCTCACAACAAATCGACGCTTTCTTGCAATTTACATAAATCAGAATCCGCTCTCAGTTCAAATCGCTCGGACCCAATTAATAGAAAGCACTTTGTAGTTGTTGTTCTCTTAGGTCACCTTTTAGAAATGACGCGTTGGAAATCTTGTCTTTTCAGATAAGTAAATATGACTTTGAAGATTCGATCAAGAGAGAGATGTCAGGAGATTTAAGAGATGGGATGCTCACAATAGGTAACACGTTTGTGTGATCATAATATGTGGTGACATATCTGAACCCAAGGGTAAGTTCCCTTCGTCACGATTTTGTTTTTAATATCGGTGTGTAGATGATAGGTGCAAATCAACCTTTTTAGATAGTTCAGTTCCTTGAATGAGAAGCTGAAGGTTAAGCCAGCTGCTGATTGTGGAAAATAATGTAAATTATAACCTCTGCTGTTTTTTTTTTTCTGTTTTGTCTGGTATAGATGTAAACCCAAGCGATATAACTAAATCATTAATCTTTTCCCTGCTATTCGTATACTCCCTTTCCGTGTAGGTGAGAAGGAAGTCTGTCTGGAGGGTAATGTCAGCGTCTTTTGCTTTTATTTTTATTTTTTTTCAGTCCAAATTGTGAGAAATGCTCCCTCATTCTTTGCTGTAAAACTTTACAAGAGCATGAAGGTAGGCCATTCATTGAATTTTTACACCTGGTCCTGGGAGAAAGGTTTGGGTTTAAGTTCCCGCCTTTCCGTTGGGTGAAACGAGAGATTTCTGTCGTTAGCTATTTGACGAAAAGAATCCACTTTACTGGAAAAAGCAAGCGTGTCTTTGAAAATTAAACCGTGAGAACACAAGTTCAAAGCCTGTCAAGTGCTTTGTGTTTGATACCTTGGTCCATCATCATGGCAAAAGACTTCTATTAAAGTTGAAAAAAATATATAATAATAATAATAATAATAATAATAATAATAGCAATGATAATAATGATAATAGTAATAATAATAATGATAATAATAACAATAATAATGATAATAATAACAACAATAATAATAATAATAACGGCATTAATAATGATAGTGATGGTAATAATATTTATCGGAGGAATTCAAGGATTAGAGCCCGGTACGTTTAGTAAGAAATAGCGGCGATTATTCATATGGGATATCGAACCTTCTATTGCATAAATGACTCTCTTCTGTTTAGAGCATCACATGAAACGAAAAAACGTAGATTTTCTTTTAATCTTTTTCTTGTTTTTTTTGGAAACCATTCTTTATTCGCTCTAATTCTTCGCAGGGTCTTGGAACAGACGACAGCACGCTTATTCGAATCATTGTTACACGGTCAGAAGTCGATTTACTGGACATTAGAGACGAGTTTGCCAAAGTATACCATAAGTCTCTGGCCAAATTTATATCGGTGAGTTTTTTATTGTTTTTGATTCGTAAAACACAAATACAAGATGTTGAAAGGACCTATTAACCGCCGCGGGAATTTCAAGAAGATATCCCGGGCATAAACCTTCACTGAGCCTCTACCCAGAGCAAACGACCTTTTAGCGCGTTGATTGGAACGAATCAGTACTGACTTAATGAAACTGCCATATATTGGTAAACTTATCATATAAAAAGCGAGACAGACCTTTTAAAGCTGGACACAGTTTCTTTTTGTGTTTTCAGGACGACACTCGTGGAAATTACAAGAAAATACTTCTCAATTTGATTACAGACAATAAGTAGGGAAAGACCCTACATACTCGTAGAAGAAGGAGATGTCTTCCCTTACCTTACCTGCAATTATCGAGTAGTGTATGATGTATCAGGTGCCCGTGGTATTTGGCAAAAATGGGGAAAAGTCTTGGATATCACAAAAAATGTGATTTTTGCAGAGTTTTTCGGCATTTTTTCAGTGTTTTTGATCATCGAAGGGAATTCGTTAGATTAATGTATTATGCATTGCAGCCTTTGAGATAAAATTTCTTCTTGGTTTAACATTCTTAATATCCTTTTAACTTTCATTTATTGTTTACCCACCATAAAAATAGAAACCAGTTTGGTTATAAAATGTGTGCTTGTTTTAATAGTAAAGCTGAAGTATTCTAATTTATGGTATTCGACGTACTCTTTTCCCTTCAACCATTTTCCCACGCCCAGAGTATTTCAATCCTCTACCGCAGAAAGAATGATTTGGTCTGCATTTAGTTTGATTGATTCGGGGTCCTTCATTAGAGGATATTTTCCTTTTATTGCCTTTTAGTTAGAAAGTGACTAAGTTTATTGCAGGATAAAGCCGAGAATGTTCTGATCGCATTTATATATTTTTTTGTTGTGTGTAAGAGTCAAGCTCTTTCCTCGGAGTGAATTCCCAAGATACAAAATCGTACGGTACATATATATAGAATGGTGTGTTTACCTTCCTTTTCTGCACATAGCTATAATGGAAAACGTAGTGGCATATTTTATTTGATCGACTAATTTTTTTTATATTATTGTTTTTCGTTGTTGTAGTTGAAATTTTCTTTTGGCTCGTTTTTTATTAGTATTTTGTTTGTTTTTTTTGTTTGTTTGTTTGTTTTTTTTACAAATATCACAAGGTTCTGGGGCAAGAACGTATGGGGTGTAGTTAGTAACGTACTTTTATAACGTATTTATAACGTATTTTGTTCAAGGGGCGAAAAATTTACAGCTGCATATGCGAGACTGACTGTTGTGTAATTATAGTTTGTGCAGTATCCAGTACGACTGCAGTAATTGCGATAATCCTTGAACTTGAAAATTACTAATCCCACTAAAGGCGATGAGCAATAAATTTCCTCCTAATAGCTTATTATCTCTACCCGGTTTGGTCCTAAAAGCCTGATAAGCACGATGGAACTTGCTTAAAATTATTGTTAGTTTCCTTTTATGGAATTGGATGATTTGTTTAAGTGACCTCGGTGGTAGTAGTGTCAGTGTGAACCTAGGTATACAAGAGGAAGTAGTACATTGCTCAGCACATTTTTTTGATTTGCCGCACGTGTAGCTCGATATCTCGTGTATTGGTGTTCTTGATTTCGACTGTCGTAAAGCACGGCTTTTTAATCCTGCTAGTTGTTGCACTGTAAAAGAATGGAATGGATAAGAAAGAATTAAATAAATTAAGTAGTTAATTCAAAACGTGCTTCGTACAGTCAACGATTATTCCCATTCTATGTATTATTTATAGCTTACGGAACTGAACCGTTTACAGGACGATGCCTTTATCTTTAAGAGGACTGGGAATTCGAAAACTCTTGTTCTTTTTACGAGTTGACCGCGATAACTTATAAAAAAAATTGCCACAGCAAAGTGCTCCGAAACTCCTTTCTTTTATTATATGGAGAAAAAAAAACCTTTCGAACAAAGGAAGGAACTTAAAGAAATTGGTAAGAGATGAATCAGTAACAGTCAAAATAACTTAGCGGGGGAATTGCCCTAGATGAATAATTAAGGATTGGTGGTCAAATCGTAATTCGCGATTTTGTGAACACGTACCTTTATTGTTTAGCACCTTAGCGAGTTGGCAGGTGCGTTATTATCTTACTGAAGTGGAAAATCTTGCAGAGGATCGCTTGATCGGCGAGAGAGCGTCACTCAGTTTGCGGTTCAATTACAAGGTTGCCCTGAGGTTGTTCATTTTTAGAGAAGAGTTCACCTGTCATATCATGGTAAGTTGATCTACAATCTTTGGCGTCATTTTTCGCCGCCTTTTAAAATGTGCTCGATCGCTTTTTTTTTTTTTTACTCGATATCAACCCTTGTGAGGTCAAAGCTGTTAATCCTATTTTCCTGTTAAAAACATTACTTTCCCGACCAGTTTAGGGTGTCACTAACTGTTATGGATACAAGTCGGTAATGTTTGCAAGTCCGGGAACGGTGGAAAATCTCTTCCCTTTGTCGAGTTTTTTTTTTTTTCTTTTTTTTTTTTTTCAGTTACGTTGTGTGTGTGTGTCATCGAGTCCCTTCGAATCCCATTATTTAGTGAGATACAAGCCATAGGTAGCTGAACGGCTCGTTCACGCCATTTCCTTTAAAAGAATCTTTCCACTTGGAAACGACATTTCCTTAAAAATATTTGCAACTTAGGGAAGTGGTAACTAATACTCATTCATGATAATTTCCTTCAGTCTTGGGTTACAGTAAAGCCCATGCCTCATTTGTAATTGGCATTTTAAAATAATTACTTGGCAATATAAGATGATGCGATTTATTTTTGTTAATTCCTCAAAGTATTGGTAGGTAGGTCGCCACTTAGTGCAGTGCAGGGCAGTCTAAAAAATTTGGTAAAAAGATATCGCGGTTTTTTGTCGACAGCGAGAGTGTATTTCAGTTCACATCGGACAAGCAGGCGTTCAGATTGGTAATGCGTGTTGGGAACTGTACTGCTTGGAGCATGGAATTCAGCCTGATGGCCACATGCCTACTGATAAAACAATTGGTGGCGGAGACGATTCCTTTAACACTTTCTTCAGTGAGACTGGTGCAGGAAAACACGTTCCTCGAGCTGTTATGGTAGATCTTGAACCTACGGTGGTTGGTATGTTCCAAACGAAATCAATTGTTCTTGTTAAGACGATTAATATTGAAAATGTACCTGTACGTTTTATTGTGGTTTAGTTTGCTGAAGTGTTTCAGTCACACAATGGATTTCACGCGCGAGTTAGCGTTGCGTCATTTCCGTGTAATGATTTCTTTTGTAAAACACTCTGAGGACCATTTTAAAAGAAATTTAGCAAAGTTAGTCTGATAATTTAAGGAGATTTTCGAGGTGACTTTTTGGTGAATATTTGGAGGCCTGATTATTTTTTCATGGGAGGTGGAATAGACGAAGATAGAGATAAAGCCAGAGGATGTTTGTGAAGGGGCACTGTTTGCTTTTTATATCGATTCTCTCAAACACCTGATTGCATCTCAACGTAACCTTTTAGAAGAAGCCAGCTAAATCCCCCCGGGAAATTTCCAGCCAAAGTCATCCTCTGCGTCTGCATTCAACATTCTACCTCGAGAGACGCTGTCTCGAGGATATACAATTTAATACTTTTTCATTGTGACTTTTTAAAACAAAGTGTTTTTGTTTTGATCCATAGCAATTCATTTACTTCTGAAACACAACTTTACGAATATTTTCTTATGTCGGATCTTTTCCTGCCAAATATCACTTCATTTTCGAATATTATGTAGGAGGTTTGTCACGAGGTGAGAACTTTACCAAACTAAACTGAATTTCCTTAATCCTACACCTATCAATGCTGTATCATAAGAGGCCTTTTCGTTCGGAAAGCCTCACCAAAAAAAAATATGTCAACAACAAACTGCTTATGATTCTCATCAAGATGTTTCAGAAAAGCCTGATCGTGCCAGGAATGAATTATGTTTAAATACTTGTTGAAACATTATGGAAAACTTGCGGATGGGAGCTTTTGTGATTGATTGTTTACATACGGCAGGTGCCATCAACAATGTTTGGATTTTCCCAGGATATTGGATGAAATTTTTCAAAGCATAGTTTGTTTTTTTCAGATTTTTTCCGGTGAGATTTATTTGAAATCAGTGACAAGCCTCTTGCCGTGTTTTATTTCCTTATTTCACAATTGAAATCAATTAGATTCTTTTTGCTGCAAAGTTTTCTTGCAATGACTTAATAATTTTTACGCTAAGTTATCATTTTGTTTCACCTAATGAGTTATGGCATCCTCATTAAAAAACACCACATTCGTAAAATTTTTGGCATAATTAGATATTTTGAAGGCGTTATTAATCAGTGGTGGCTCATTGATCATTATCCAAACAGTTGGATTTCCGAGTTCGTTGCAAATTATGTTCATCACATGCTTTTTCTCATTTTAGAGCAGTTTTGAATTGAGTTTCGAAAAACCAAAACCAAAGTAATCCCAGCGACCAATCACAAAAAAGATTTACATTATCATCAGCCAATGAAAACAAGCAAACTGCTTAAAAGCGCGGGAAAGCACGAAGACCAGATTGCGATTGTGCGTCTGATTGGTGGAGAGGATGGTGCGAGTGTTCTGAATCAATCAAAGAGCAAAATTAAGTAAAACCAAAGCCATTCCAGACTACTTTCGACACCCAACTGAAATTTATCAAATGTCGAAAGTAATGGGATTATTATTTTTTTTTACTTCGCTGCACCCTTTTATTGATCTACGAAGTTTGCACTACTTTTCAAACCAATCAGATGCAAAACTAGAAATAGTAGTGATTTGGTCAGTCACTCTCGTTTTCACGCAGTTTAGGCAGTTTCCTCGATTTTACCTGGTCCACTGTGGATTTCACCTTTCTTGATGTAACGAATTTAAGAAAAGTATTGCAAGTATCCTCATGCTCATGCAAGTCATGAGTTCAGAATTCAGCTCAGGGATATGATTGTCACGCCCATGAAAGAGATACTTGGAATAATTGGAGGGCTTTAATACTTGTCTAAGGGCCTTGTCCTCGCTCGTCAACTTGCCGATACTGGAAGGTGTACGTTTCTCAATTGTTGGCTATTCTTAAAATGATAACAACAGCAAAAGGTATGAAAAAGATCCCAAATAGAACAGCGCCAGTCGGTAAAAGTAAATTTTGCCGATTCCTTTGCCTTTCCTTTCTTTTGTTTTCTTTTTTTTTTTTTTTTCATCGAGTTCTCACTGTATTCAGGTTCTAATGGTAGAAAGTTTTCCTTGTGTTTTCTTTGGTTGCTTATTGTTTTTTCCTCTTCCCAGATGAGGTCCGTATTGGTACATACCGCAACTTATTTCATCCTGAGCAGTTGATAAGCGGTAAAGAGGACGCCGCTAATAACTATGCGCGTGGGCACTACACTGTTGGAAAAGAACACATCGATCTTGTCCTTGACAGAATCAGAAAAGTGGTATGTTTTTTATCTGAAGCAATAGCTCCATGAATCAAAATGCTTCCGATATTTTAAATACTTGTGTTTATCTTCCTACTTCGTTTTCCAAAAAACTGCATTGAGGCAACGAAAAGCAACACCATTTGAAACTTTGTAATCTATTTTAGTAAGAAAACCTTTTGTGCGAAAGAAGTAATGAAACTGCTGCGAAGGGGTAAACTAAACCTTGTGACAAATCAGTAAAAAAGAACAAAGAAATTATTAATACTAATGAATGGAAGACTAAGAAATTCAAAGTAACGTTTTTTCAGAAACTTCGTCTATAGAAATATGAATAAGAAATAATGTGATATATTAGTTTTCAATTTCGTACAAGTCCTCGTTCATATGTCATTGTGGAACCAGGGTTGTGGTGGAAGTGAGACCATTTGTTTCCTACTTCTGTTTCCTACTTCTGCCCAACATGAGTTAAACACCACACCAGTTGTCACATATGGTTAAAATTGTTGTTAATTCTTTTCTTAACTCTGAAAAATTTTTCATGGCTTCTCCAGCCGTTCTTCCTTCAACATAAAAATTCCTATTCGACCAGAAAAACAGGGGATGACGAGCGACTCGGTGAATGTTTCTTGAGTAATAGTTTATTTCTATTTTCATATGACATTCTTTAGGCAGACCAATGTACCGGTCTTCAGGGATTTCTTATTTTCCACTCTTTTGGCGGTGGAACAGGCTCTGGGTTTACTTCTCTTCTCATGGAGCGCCTTTCGGTTGACTACGGCAAGAAGTCTAAATTAGAATTTTCCATCTACCCATCCCCTCTGATAGCCACTGCTGTCGTGGAGCCATACAACTCGATTCTCACGACTCATACCACCCTGGAGCATTCTGATTGTGCATTCATGGTCGACAACGAAGCCATTTATGACATCTGTCGTCGCAATTTGGATATAGAGAGACCCACCTACACTAATCTCAACCGACTGATCGGTCAGATTGTGTCCTCAATTACAGCTTCCCTGAGATTTGACGGAGCACTGAATGTGGATTTGACAGAATTTCAAGTGAGTTGACGAACAATGTGATACAATTCTGTTATAGTAAAGTCAGACCAATGAGCAAAACTAAACATTAGACGAATTCTTTTGATTTTCGAAGTTCATATTCTATTTAGAAGCACTCTCTTTACCCCAAAAAATATTGGACTCCAGCCGATAGAGAAAACTCATCATTACAGTGTGGGTGGGGAGGGAAAGGCAAATAGTACTCCAAACAGACAGGGGATTTAGGCGCTCTCAGACTTATGCTGCTGGCTTTAGAGAATTAACTTTTACGACTGTCTATCACAATCAACAGTAGTTTCTTGAAACTGGTTTGAATTACTGTATAACAGACGAAGATTCCAACTCTTGTCCCCGTTAATGAAAGTCAAGGACCTTAGGCCAAGACATTATTGTTGGAGTCAGCTTCGTCAGGCGTCCTCTTGTGTAGAAAATAAAAAAGCGAACTCGCAAGGTTTAGACTTGTTCGTCTGCCCTGAAGTAAGGACAAATTTTGACTTCATGTCCGTATGTTTGCATGTCTGTCCAAGACCTCAATACTCGACCCACGACTTACTCTTGAGAATTCTTAATTCTTCTTGACTCTTCTCTGCACACTTAACAGACCAACTTAGTGCCATACCCTCGCATCCATTTTCCTCTCGCCACCTACGCGCCAGTTATTTCAGCTGAGAAAGCTTACCATGAACAGCTGAATGTTGCCGAGATCACGAACGCTTGTTTTGAACCAGCCAATCAGATGGTCAAATGCGATCCACGTCACGGTAAATACATGGCGTGCTGCCTGCTGTTTCGTGGAGATGTGGTACCAAAGGACGTGAATGCCTCTATAGCTACTATTAAGACCAAGAGGACCATACAGTTTGTCGATTGGTGCCCTACTGGATTTAAGGTAACAGAGGGAAGATTGTCCCATATTAACCCTTTGAACCCTAAGAGTGACTGGCATCTAATTTCTCCCTACAATATTACCCCTGAATCAAAGATTAAGGTAACGAGAATGAAGGAAATCGTCACCACCTAATGGAGCTCTTGATTGTTAAAGAAATTCTCCTTGTCAGCACCTTAGGAAATGTATAGAGAACAGTATGGAGAATATGTTATGATATTAGGGTGTAAAAGGTTAAGGGAGCAACAGGCATTTAAACTGAGAAATACCGTCGCAGTTACTATAAATTTTTATATAATAAGCTCAGTTATGCACGCATTCTGACTAGTTCTCACTTATGATCTATTGAAGGACAGACGTATAGATGACTTCATCATTAAAACTTTTTTTAATTCTTCATTATCTAAAACAAATAGATTCCAAGTTGCCGTCCGTCTGTTCAGTAATAGATCACAGAGGACGTCAAAATGTGGTAGGAAAATCAGTGACACACTCGGCCGCGCCTCGTGTGCCACTTTTTTGTTCTTACCACATTTTGACATCATTTGTGATCTATTACTGAACAGACGCACTGCAACTTGGAATCTATTTGTTAAGTAGAAACAACGCACGTCAGGAAGCATACGTCAAGAGAGGTTCGTCGAGGAATGTAATGATGTCTACACAACTTTATTCAGATATTGGATCGGATTCATAAAATTTTTTATCTTTTTCTTTCTTAATTTATTCGGATCACACTAGATCCGCACGGTAAATGAAAGTTTGTAAATCATCTCTATGGCCTTACCCAGGGGCAATAACATGTTTTGGATAATTCTTTATTTTCACTGTGGTTTTCCGTAGGTTGGAATCAATTACCAGCCCCCCACGGTCGTCCCAGGTGGTGATCTAGCTAAGGTACAACGTGCAGTTTGTATGTTGAGCAACACGACAGCCATTGCAGAGGCCTGGGCTCGATTGGACCATAAGTTTGATCTGATGTATGCGAAGCGTGCGTTTGTCCATTGGTATGTGGGCGAAGGAATGGAGGAGGGAGAATTCTCGGAGGCTCGCGAAGATCTCGCTGCCTTGGAAAAGGATTACGAAGAAGTAGGAGTGGATTCTCTTCACGAAGAAGGGGAAGCCGATGAATATTAAAGCTAACATGTTTTAATCTCGGTTAGATTAAGTGTACTTAACAATTTTATCTTGATTGATCGATTAATTCGATGAATTTTTCACTGCTGTGGTGTTATTCTTCCACCGGGTGTTTCCCTCGAGCCTCGGTTTTCATTCATACACTCAGAGTACTTGCTAAGGCACTACTCTCGCATTATCCCTTCTCGATCTATACTTAGTTAAGGTGCCCAGCGTCAGCGCGCTTTTTGAGAATTGAATTTGCTTATAATTAACTCACACGGACGGTTTAGAAGTGGAGAACTTTTTATAATGCTTTGGGAAAGAAATGAGCCCGAGCGCAGAGAAATCCAGCAAAAAAATATAAGTATTGTTTAGTTTTTTTTAATTGAGGTGCATTCTGTGGGATGATGCATCTGCGCTAAAAATTAAAAGCGGAATCCAATGAGAAAAAGAGCAACAGTTTAAAATCTCAAGAGCACTTTAAATATCCGCAATATTCGCCACCGCGATCATTACTCGAAGTTAGCCGGACGTCTGATGTTTCCAGAATGAGTTCACTCATTGTATTGTCCGAGTTCTTGCTTGATTTCTTTGATGATTTCATTTGGTTTAAGTTAATCTTTTAGTTCCTTTTCCTGTTTTGTGGGACGGACAGTAGTACTTCAGTAGACGTTTGGAAAAGCTCACGAAAGCGTCACTACAATGTAAACGGATCAATGTCAGTATAAACAACTCTGACGAGATCAGCGTGGTTGCCACGTGTGTGGGAAATGTCGTTCACCAGAAGAAATATCTGAAAAGCTTTTCATCGCATCATTCGTCAGTGATTTTTCCGTAATAAAATTAAGTATGTGTGAAACAACGTTGCTTTTGAAAGATAACCATATCCAATTTTTTCATTAATCTCCGGTGGAGATCTAGAAATTTAATCCTTTTAGTAGATAAAACGTACAAAGCGACGTTATTAAATGCACAAGCAAATCGGTCAGTAATGATTATCGACGTTAGTATCTTAAGTGTATCCATTAGGTACAGGAAAACGTGCGTTAGACACAGACATCTGTTAGTTAAAACTTTGCTTTTTGTATAAACTCTGCTATTTTTAAAACATTCACCTTTGCTCTTACTAATGTTTATGTAATTCATCTGAAGTTAATAAAGTCATCAGTTGAATTCTCAAAGAAACCGCCACATCAAGTTCCCGCGAATTTTACGCAGTTTCATCTGTTCTTGATATTTGGAGGCTATCCTAAAGCTATAAATAGCAAAAATAAAACATCTTGCCAGTTGAACAGGGAGAAAAACCCGCCCTTTGAATCTAGGGAAATGGACCAACTTTAGTTCAGACTTGATATGGGGTGGTACCAATAGTAGATTACACATCCTCCTTTTGGCTTTTCTCTTCTTGTTTGTTTGTCTATTCGTTTGTAGGGAAGAACAGATGGTTTACCAAAGTTTGAAATTATTCTCAGCTTCTCTATTTATATTTTTTGCGACGTAAGATTATCTAACAAAAATAATTAAACAACAGACAGAGAAGGAAAAGACAGTACGGCTTGTGTCTTGCTCTGGGTCGTTGCTCAGTCATGATTTTGTCATGTCTGTCGACTTAATTAGCAAATTGATAAGTGACGACCAAGAGGACTTTAAGTGGCATAGGGAAAAATGTGGACTGGACCATTGGTCCTTGGACTATTGGACTATTTTTTTAACCATTTTCTTGACTATCAGAGATGGGGGGAGGGCAAACCATCAGTACATAGGGAGGGGTGGAATGTAGACTGTTATTACTCAAGTAGGGGTGGGAACTGGACTATTAGTACGTAGGGAGAACTGTGAGGTGGTTGTAATAGTCAATGCTACTAATTTATGTAGCTTTTACTAGATCATACATACTATTTTGAGCGCCTTTTCGTAAATTCTTGCGCTGGGCTGTTGCGTTTCTTTGTTTTTTGTCATGTAAATGCAAACTGGCTCCTCAACAGTGGACTGTAACTGTTAGTGATTGATATCGCCAATTCCCTTTTTTGATTCACCTCTGTCCAGTCAAGCATGTGCCTTTTAAGTCGACTTATTCCAGTGCCTAATGATAATCACTGGTTATCACGAATCATCCATCAGTTGCTTCACGTTTCCCTTTGTGTATAGAGTATATCATGAAAAAATTGTAAAAAACGTGACAACCCGGTGCAAAACTTTTGACATTAACGACTCGTTCGAAAAAATGCTTTTATGATCCCGTAAAACTCCATCAATCAGTAGCATTTACTAATAAACCCACCTTCCACCCCTCCTTACGCACTAATGATCTGCCTCCAACCCCACAGATGGTCAATAACATGTTCAAAGACATGGTCCAAAAAAGGTAAAAAAAAAGAGTGCAAAAATGTTCCAAAAAAAGTCCGAAGAAATAGTCCAAAATTAGTCCATTCCCCAACAGTTCAATGGTCCGGTCCAAATTTTACCTTAATGACGTCTTATTAGACCATGTTGACATGCAATAAAGTCGGAAACATGCGGTTTGATGTCCGGATGTTATGTTTTGGATAAAAAAAAATCACATGCAGCTATTTGTATAATTAGGAGAGAGCATTATTATCTTTAAATAGGGCTACTCTAAGTACCCAACACAAAAAAAGGTTAAAATTAGAAAAAAAATGAGCTGAAAATCCTATTTAACTGATCCTAAGCTGGTTCTTATCCCAAGGCGAATGTGGTGCAATACACTGTAGTCACGATCGATCATAATTTAATTTGGCAGTCAGTTCAACTTGTTTGTTAGTCATGCGGCATTTTTTCTTAAATCATTTTTCCAAATGACATATAACTACTCCAGAATATTTAATGTACCTCTCAGTCTCCCTTTTCTTGGAGAACTTGACTGTAAATCAAAACTAGATTCTTATTACCATTTTTCTTGAAAATATACTGAGTCTCCAGAATTTACATTTTCTTCTTTGTTTACAGTAAAAGTCAAACCTTTCGCTCCTTTTCGAGTTTACCGTCACTGGCATTAATATCCCTGATAGACAATATTTGGCTGAACGTATCTTTTGCAGCTGAACGCACGGTAACATCTGCTTTGCTGCAGTGAGGTTTTAGTTTTTAATTGGCTTAATAACTGTTGGCTTGCCATAATTTTACGGTTTTTAGTCTTACGCCCTCTTACGCCCGTTTGAAGAGACGGAATGCGCGTCAAACAGTAAATTAACTCCAGGCTGACATTGCGCTAATCGTATAACGTTCCTTCTTGATATGATTAATTGCGTTTTAATAGCAGCTCTCTCAGCGAGTTCCTTTGTTGAACTTAAGCGCGTGCGGGGTTGTTTACTACCTCACTAAAAGTTTCCACGCTCCATCAATCACTAACAAGTCCAAGTGATTTTTTTGCATTTTATTTGTAGAATCAGATCGTATCAAACTCTTTACTTAGTACACTACTTCAGATTGTTTTCTTGTGCCCTATGTAGTACTTAAAAACAAACATTTTCTAATTGAAATCCTTTTTGTCTTCACAGACATAAAACGTTCCGACTTTTTTTTTTTCTTGAGTGGTTTTTGATTAGGGTTTTCGGTCTTGCTTATCCATCTCCTGTGTGTGAACTAGACTACTTCAGTTACGCGTTTGCCCAGGATGTGGCCAATGTTGCGTTGTAGCAAAGCATCTCTGCGATAAAGAGCTCGAGGAAGAAAATTGGCGCGACGATCTTAAAGTCTTTATTTTAAACATCAAACTTGTTCTATTCTGGGCTGCTTTCTTACGTTAATTTCTCTCTTCTGACGATAGACCTTTTTTTCACTATTGTTTTTTTCTTAATTCAATTTGTCAGTTATTCGAGCTCTTGAAAGCTTATCTAGAATTCGTGTCAATAAGTGCCTTCAGTGCGAAGGATACTGTTCACTTGGATTAAAGCCGAGCGACCGGCTAGGAGAAAGTCTGCGCCTTCTACTTGATCCCGAAGGCTGAAGGTGCTGAAATCGATATAGAGCAAAGGAGGGTTACCTTCAGCCATGCTACTATTCCAAATAACCATTTTGTTTTTTGTCGCTGGATTGACCTGTCTTCGCCATCCGGTCGTTTATGGAAAGGAAGATTTGGAGACTTCGTTGGAAAAAGCTGACCCACCAAAGCACAGAGAGAAACGATGGCTATGGGGCGGTAAGACTGGCTCTTGTGTATTGCTTACCTTCAGTCTTGAATTTCACATTCTATTTCACTAAAACAACTAACATGCTCAACCCACCGGAGTCTTATCTGAGGTTATACCTTATCCGTATGGAATAAAGCCAAAACATGTTCCTGTTGAACTTCACTTTGAACTTTACATATTCGTGAATGCTATCTTCGTAGTGTTAGCCTAGAAATCATGTTTTCTCTGAGAAAGCTTTCAGACAAATTTACAGAATGCTTTGAACCATTGTGAACTAGAATACTTGCAAGAATCTTGGAAACTTCATTTTTGATCCGGACTGATTTATATAAACCTTTCTGGGGCTTCATAGTCAACCGCAAATATGGACTTTACTCAATGGATAAAATTGCTTTCACGCACCATTCTTCAGCTAGTGATCCTCTATCTCAGGAAAAAGATTAGATTTAATGACTTGAAAAAAAGAATATTTGTCAAGGGTTTTCTACATTTTGGCCAAGCTCCACCCTAGCTATACGATGTCTGGGAACATCTTAGTACTTCGCGATGTTTATCACAGTTATAGCAATGGTCACGAGATCTTAAGTAAGAACGTTTTACTTGACACTACTTCCATAACTTTGCTGAAGTGACCCCTCCGCATTTTTCTTCGGTATTTCTTCAAAGTACTGTATTTTGCTATTCCCAAGGATTTTTTAAATACTCTGCTCTTTAGATGTCGATTTATCCGTTGCTTTTTTCCTTAGAGAATTTTCAAAAATAAAGCCTACGTTTCTAGAATAGATCGTGAGACACCTCGATTAGCTTAATCGGATTTCTACTTTATTTACATAAAATAAATGCGGTTTTTTTTAAGATTAGCGTAGTGTAGTCAGGTCACTTTCACTTAGTTTCCCAGACAGTCCTTTAGAACCGTTTGGAATTGAACCTCTGGAAAATCTTACCCACTTTAAACCGCTGCTTCTTGTTATTCGATAGCTCAAGACTAAACCGTTCACTGAAAGTTCTTTTCAATAATTGCAAGAATATCTCCTCTTACTTCAGTGAGTTTTGCCAGAACATGGCGCAATTCTAATCAATGTTAGCATGTTCGCAAAGTTAAAATATGCTTTAAGACTTTTCTTTGCAAAAAGTATTTGTGCGTGCTAAGAAGCCGATAAAGAGTAATACAGGCGGGCGGCACTTTTCAAGTAAGGAGCCCCTTCTACAGCCGTACGAATATTCGTGTAAACGGGCGATGAAAAGCTCATATATTTTAACACAAGTGCATTGCCTCTAATCCCTCTTAATTAAACTGTGCTCAGTCTGAACAGGCTTGTTCGTTTTTGGCAGCAAATGCATTGTTTTTGTTATTCTTTGCATAGCCATTCGAAGAAGTTAGATGCTTTTTTTTTTCTTTTTTCCGTAACGCAGACTATGAACAGATTGGAGTCTTGTCATATTGAGTTTTGCAGTTAGAATTGAAGCGTTACTCTTATTTAAACAATGGATCTGTTCCACTAGATCCTTTGGCTGTTACTGAACAGTTTTGAAACTACGTGCTGAATTCGCCAAGAGTTTGTAAGTAGGTCTAATCATTGGAATTTTAGGCATGGAAAACATATCCAAGAAATAATATTTTCATAACTTTCAGATAGTGCAGGAATGTCAATTGCACTCACGGAGACAAGTTCAAAACGAGAAAGATTAATTGCCATTCTAAACGGTAGCAGTTTGTTTTAATTGCAAGATGTTGATCCATATCAAAAGATAGATAATCGATCAAATCTTTTTTTCCGGAAATGGACTGGGAAGAGGTTCTACTAAACAGTTCTCAATTATACCGGACACGTTTCATTTACGCGCAGCGAGCGAGAGCTCATTCCGATAACACCGGGGCACACCAGAGGAATACGAACGAATGTTTTGAATTCTTAAACACTTAAGATACACGACCGCCATGTTTTCGCTCTGTGTCTCCTGCGTGTACATTGCTGGGCGCATGCGTAATGATTGCCTAGATAACACTCCGGAAAAGAAGATCGTGATCATTTTACACGGCAGCGCGAAACCAAAGGCAAAGAAACCACGTGAGCAGAGACCCATTCTCAAGTGCATGTCTATTCACATTTAATTTTCTTGGCTCAAATTAGGGTGTGGTTTCATTCCTGGATGTGAAAAATGCAGCGATGGGCTTATTTGCAACAAATGCAGACCAATTTTTACCCCTGTGGAGTACGAAAGGAACAAAAAGAAGATCATAAGGTGCAGCCGCTCCTGTCCTCCAGGCTACAATGTCACATCTACAAGGGAATATCCCAAGATTTGTGTTAGAACACAATTTGGTAAGTTGGATCAGAGGCATACCAATATCATTTCTTGAGCCTCAAACAACTTCCTGCAAAGCGGTTTATCTGATATTGCTTGGGCACAGAGACGATGGTACATCTATATCAAAAGAGGATATCATGTCTTGTCTGTATGTGTTTCTTTTCTTGCTGTACAGGTTGCAGTTATCGTGATTCAGTTCTTGTTGCTGAAACGGTGAATCAAGTGGGCAGTTAAATTATTATATTACTATCGCTTGGTGAAATATACCAGATAAAAAATCACGCGTAAACCAGTCACGTGAATAAGGGGTTGATATCACGTGTATAGGTCATTAAATACCTGGCACGGAGGATTAAATTTAAACAGACACTATCCCAGCCCCCTTTCGATTGCTAATGATATGAATACAAACAACGCAAATAAAAGCGTCTATTGCCAATGGCAAGTTTTCAGCCTCGAACGTGATCGCTCCTCAGTTAAAATTGATGATAACCAAAGCCCTTTATCTCCTTGAAAATTCATTGCCCTGCTATTTAAGAAAAGTCGTTGTTCTGATGTTCAAGGTTGTTCTGCACGACATTGTGAAGACTGTGAACCTCACAACCCAGTTAGCTGCGTGAACTGCACTCAGGGATACTATTCAGTGCAAAAAAGGGTTATGGGAAACGTGAAATGCGTGAAACAGTGTCCAGATGGTTTCACCCCGAACCTGAACACTGATGGGAAGATGATTTGCAAAGATACACAGTCAAGTAAGAGTGATAAAGTTATTAGTTAGTTGTAGGTTGGTAGTTTGTCCTTGGGGGTTGGCAAAGCGGGGTTGCACAAGTTATGCCCAAAAACTCTCGAAAAAAGATCTGTTGTTTTAGTACAGCTCTCAATTTTCTGATTTCCAAATTGTCGATATCAATATAAAGAGAAAGAAGAGGAATATTTAGAAGAAGAGGAAGGCAGCACATGAGCCAACGTTACATGATGCTTTTCATACAGGAGATCGGTATGCGCCAGGAACCATATGATTTTTATCTCCTCTATTTTGCTGCTTACCAAATTATAAGCAAAAGGATCGAAAACTTTCTTTTAATTTCCAAAGAACTCGCTTACAATCCTAAGAGGACACACAAAACCCGAAGACAGTGACTGCATCTCTAAATTTTACCATGAGGTATCATTATCGTGGTCAAGTGTCATAATTTTAGATATACAATTTAACGGCGAATATTAAATTTGTAGTTTCCGAACCACACTTCTCCCTTAATTACTGAATTTATCTTTTGGACTGGAGGGATGTAAAACGTTAGTGAACGTAAGATGAGTCTCTCAATAGATTGCGTCACCATATTGCGTTCTTCAAAAACCGTGCAGAAACACACGTTAATTCAATTTGCCTATTTTCAGAATGCCAATCGTTTGTGCCTAAATGTGCTACGTGCCTAGATAGCGTACGCTGTCGAAAGTGCAGGAGTGATCTGCATGTCTTCTTCAACAAAACTGGCATGGCTTGTATTCAGAACTGTCCGAGGGGCTTCGTATCCGCCGACTCCCACTATTTCGGAAAGTACTGTAAAAGGCCACTTGTCGGTAAGTGACAAAATCGGATCGTCTTTGATAAGATAAGCTCTCAATAAGAATTGAAACCTCGACTGATTCTGTCAATGTCAACAATGAAATGAAAAAAATGAACTTTAATTAACACCAAAACAATTAAACATTTTAATGAAATAATTGAGATACTCGGTGCACTTTGATTTATTTAAAGACAAATTGTTTGTTCTACAGTTGCACTTAATATGCGTTAACCGACCCAACGACCCACAGCGGTGGTTTGGAGAACACTTGAGAAACTCATCTTCTCCCAGCACTACGTAATGCTGCATATATACGTATATACGCTGCCTGAATTCTTACGAGAATTTACGTATAGAAAGTACAATCGATTGATTTAACTCTGTTCATCAGTAATACTGAGGAATAAACTTACATATGATAACTTGGTGTTTTTCATTGTATATGTTTGTACTGTAACTGTGGTGCTGTGTCGGTGGTAGAGTATAACAGGGTAATTTTGTATTATCAACTGAGTTGATAATGTAAATTGGCCTCCGTAAAGAGTTTTAAAGCTGACGTTTCGAACGTTAACTCGTCGTATACCGCTCTGACGAAGGGCTAACCCTCGAAACATCAGCTTGACGGTGGTTCATTTACGTTATCAACTAAGTTGATAATGCTAAATCAGCCTGTTCAGCGTTTGGTATGAGATCACATCAGCTTAATGAATTTTGAATTCATTAAACCAGATCAAATGGGCTTTAAATATGAAGCCAGGTCACCTTACGTATGGTAAGCATTTCTTCTCTTTTTTTTCCTTGGCGTGGATAGAGTGCCGATCAATTTCAAACTGTGAGAGATGCCCTGACAAGATCAATTGCCGCAGATGTAAGCCAAAGTTTTACAAGCTCAAAACAAATCCGTTGTCCCATGCAAAATGTGTTTCGTCGTGCCCAGCAGGGTTTAAAAGGAAAGGAAGGAGATGCCAACGTATAAGGGAAGGTAACTGAGATCAAAGTGATGAGTATTTCAATGTAGCTGTGTTTTATTGGTAACTAGGTTTGCATGCAGCTGTCTTGCTCGCCATGTTTCCAAAGCAACCACTTGTAATTATAACCCATTTGGATGGGAGCCAGATACTTAGATCCTTTTATTTTACCGTGATTCCAGCTATACCCGACTCCAATTGCCCATTTCATTTACAAAGACTTCAACTCCCTCACTTCTATCATCTTTTAGACGGATGTTATGGCGAGTATTGTTTGACATGCAAGGATGGTTGGTATCGCGTTAATTACAATAAAAGACATTGTCAGCGCAAGTGTCCCAAAGGCTTTTACATTCTTGGAGAAAAACAGAAATTCTGTCTCCGTAAGTACAATAACAAGATAGCAAGCCAGTTCCTAAGCAATTGCATAAAAATTGGTTCAAGAAGAGATGACCATGCGTCGAAGTTTCTGAAAATTAAGGAAAACAAAACCCTTGAGTTTGTCCTTCACTTTAAAGCCGGTTGTTATAAAGGAGAAGTTTTTGATGTGAAAGCACTCGGAAGATTGGCCAACTGGATCTCTTAACCTCACTACCTCGAGGCCGGATGATTTTAAAGAGGGTAGATTGTAGCTTAAAAACGTATTTCATAAAAATCATACATTAAGAACGAAGTAAATTATTGAAATAAAAGGGAGGTACTGAAACCAAAATAGGCTTTGAGACAAAAATTTGGTTGTTTTAAGCTAGACTATCGACTATCAACATCTTATTCTCTCCTTTTGCTACGTTATTTGCCATAGGATGCCTGGCCCGATGTGAAGAATGTATGAACGGTTTTGACTGCGGCAAGTGTGATCCAGGAACTTTTAAACTTGTCCAGGGTCTGCACACGTCTTGCGTGACAAGCTGCCCCTTTGGCTATGCGAGTCATGGTAACGTCAAAACCGGAAGAGTATGTACTTTTAAAAGGTTTGTTTGCCAACGAAGCCTTTGGCAAAGGGTACCCTCTTAAGATCCTTATCGCTCACTGTGTGGGCATATTACCGAGTGAGGCGCAAAAAGGTGCTATCCCAACTGTATAACTATTATTCAAAGTTAAGTTTTGAAGGTTAGATATTTCTTATACTCTATTACGGTTGCATGGTCCTCAAACTTAGTCCGCGATCTTTTTTTAACTAGACTTGATTTAATTTTTCGAAATGATTCCATACCTCTCTCCAATCTGAGTTGTATTTTCCCTTATTCCAATACAGGATCACGTGATCAAGCTGACGCTATTGTGATGACATCAGTCCTATAAATAAACATGAAAAAAGGAACATGCGTGTCCAGTTAAATCGCTGCTAAAATAGGAGTTTGGTTTGCTGGTTATTTACAACTAGTGTAGAGGAGATGTACCTGAGTACATGCATGTGCACAGTCTGTTTTAAAATTTTTTTAGAGCTCTTTCCAGTGATATTCGAGAGATAAACAATAGTAAAGTTACCTCGGGATATTTGAGTTGTATGACTCTCCACACTCGCTTCTAATTCGCTGAATGTCCGGTCAGCCTAGAATTCCCATTTAGTCAGCTAAACCATGTTAAGAGAGAAAAGAATTACCAAATGAAAATTTAGCAAGTTTATAGTTAGTGATAAAGCATTTAAGCTGTGGGACCAAGCTGACCTCCTACTCCACGACCCTCTCCCCTTCCACTTACCGGCCATCATAGGAGACGTAAACTATTCTTCCTTATAACCCAGACTTGCTATTTCGAGAAATTCTAATTGACTCGTCCTTGTAAGGTAAGGAAACAGGTCTTTTATAAAATAATTGAACGCGTTGAACAGACATGCAAACATTAATTTGAGTATCTTCGTAAACTTGAAGTATCAAACCGATATCATAAACAATAACAACGAGGACCAAAACAACCATGACATAGAAAAGTCTAATGAAGCTTGGTTCTTTAAAAACTGTATAATATGATATGCCTCAGTCTTCCTTAAACGTTTAATTCCTTGAATGTCACTGGTGGTAAGGTTAGCTGTTTCTTCTGAAAAAGTATCATGAGGGGTCAAAAGTTTTGCCTTTTTTTCTAATAACTTATGTACATGCAATCATTACTGCATCACAATACAGAAAACTTCGACGATTGAGGGGAGAGTCCTTCTCAAACAAGCACAATGTGTTGAGCAAGAATAGCTCCTCTCAGGATTTTGTATGATTAGGATGCAGTAACGTAACTATTAGTGGATCAGTTGTATACCGACAACATAGTGACAGGTGGTAATAAAAGCGAGGAGCTACTCAGGAGTTTAAACCTTCTTTAATGCCTAAACACTCGGTGATTAGGGGCGGATTTTGGAATTTTTGATAGGGAATCCAAAATGACCTCTCGACCCACCATAACCCACATCTCTTCTCCTCTGTAGGAAAAGAAATAAAATCCGTCCCACTTATAATAATATACGATCGTGTCGTGAAAAGAATTTTGGTGTCAGACAAGTAATAAAATAAACACATATGTCTCATAGGGGGAGGGAGGTGAGGGAGAGGTTCTATCCCTGTGGATCTGCCTCTGGTGATGAATATGGGTTGATTATCTTTATCATCATAACCTGTATTGATTGTCTTTTATTACGCGCTGATCTCCATAGTTAGTTTATCAATGAGTCACTTTGAAAAGTGGAAAATACAACGTTTTCTGAGAGGTTGTTTTTTGTTTTGTTGTTTTTTTTTTTGAGAAGGTCGTGTATCAATTAACCGTACGTTTGTAAAGTTTGGCTTGCCACGATGCACGAAATGGTTCGTTTAAAAATGAACCAAAAGACTGCAATTTCATGCAGAAATGATTTAATTTGTTCTAAAATAACCGTAAATAGACTTGCACCTCTATGATAGCGGGTGGATTCTACTCCTTTACCCGTTTCTCGAACTGTGAAACTTAACGGTAACAGTTCCGCATAAAAATTGAATTGTTTATCTGTGATTTTAAGCGGAACCTGTGAGGGGTTAATGCTCTTACCTTGATAATTCTCCTGTCGAATGCTTACCATGGTAAAAGAATGAAATTAAACTAGAAGCAGAAAATCAAATACATGAATAATAACCAGAGGAAACAAATAAACGCAAATAGTAAAAGAGAATCGGTAAGTTATATCAATGTTCCACTACTAAGTGATGAGAAAAAGTTAGCAAACAATTAAAGGAACCAAAGAAACACCAGAATGTGTGACGTAACTTACTGCATGTGCAGGTGAAGAAAATTTTTTTAATATTCAGGAGAGATCAGTGCATCCTTTGAAGACAAGCTGAAACTAATAAAGCCAAGCCTGTGTACAGCCGCCTTCATCCCTCAGAAAAAATTTGCAATGAAAAAAAGCCAGATTCGTGTTTTGAAAACTTTTAAGGGCTTTTTGGGTTGACGTTCTAGGGCTCTCGATGATCCAAGATTTTGAAGGTACTGGGATGATGATGCGACTCACAAGACCAGTCAATTGGTTCAAGTCATCCTTACATTTCCAAAGCCTCTTTCTTAAAAAGAGGGCGAGTACAAAGCCTTCAGCGTGGAAATAATTTATCACTCTCAATCAAATAAAAAGTATTTTTGCAGGATTGGTTTTTCATGTGCTCTCATCTCAAAAGCGAGAGTTTTTGTAAAGCGAAAAAGGCCAATTAAATTGAGATTGAGCAGAAATATATGATGAGTGCGTTCACTCAAAAGCTACTCCTAATGGCATATTTCCTACTGAGTGCAACAAATGAAGGGATCAAGTCGAATAAAATCATGTCATAACGCAGTTAAGGTGCAAATGTCCCTTAAAAACACTTCGAATTTTAAAATCACTTTATCGTGCGTTTCACATTTCTTGCTGCAGACAAATCTTTCCAGCAGACAAATCTTTCTAGATATAATTGTTGTTTTTTTTTTTGTTTTGTTTTGTCGGGTATTTTTTTTTTCCTTTTTTTTAATAATCGGCTGGAGAGATCAGTGCATCGGCTGGAACAATGTTACAACGCCAGAAGAGCACTCAGTTGGATAATTATTGATATCAGACGGGTAAAATACGATTTTCCAATATGCAAATTTCAAGGGATTGCTCAGAAAAAAAAATTCATAAAAGCATTATATTAAATAGTGTTAAAAACTGCGTTTGCTTTTGCGTCAGTCTTGTCTGACTTACGTGTGTAACCTCAAAAACCTCATCTTAAATGCAAAACCACCATATTCAAGTTCCGATTTGTGTTAAACCAGTCAATTGTTTCTTCGTTATGATTTATAAAAAAGCCGCTTATATTGCCAGCCGATAAAATTTTAAACAGTGGGTTCTGAAAGCTTTATAGAAATGACAATATACTTCCCACTGTCTGAAGGAACAAAACAATACCATCAACAACAGCACAACAAAACAAACCCGAACAATCTATAATGGAAGGTTTACACACTAAGAACAAACAACTGAGAAAAAATAGAACTGACCAAGAAAAGAAAAATTTGAGTGAATTATGTAGTAACAGTATAGAACAAAATGCAATTTCTCAGATTTAAAAGATAAATGTAATTGTAAACATATGATTTTTGGGAGTATATTTTTCAGTAAACCGATCTATAAGGCAATTTTTTTCCCGTACAATCATCGAAGACAAAGACGAGTCAATGTGATCGAGGAAGGAGCTGAACAAAGGGTTAGTCTTTTATATCCAGCCAGATCTCGTTTACTTGACAGTTTATAATTGGCTCTTTCGAGAATCGTGTCACAGACTAAAAGGTTTTGGAAGCTGACTACAATCGGCCGGGAGGAACTGTCAAATTAAACAAAGGCTAGTACTTTCTAGCGCTGAATCAATACTCTTTATTTAAGTTAAGCTTTATGCGAAACGTAAGTAGCTAAGTCAAGCTGTTTGAACCGTGTTTGTCTAGCATGCCTGACTCAATAAATCTCGATTTTCAGCGCAGTTAAGAAAGTCTTATTAACCTTAGTTACCAGTAATCACCGATGGTTTTATTTATCTACACCATCGTAAAATCAGAATTGTGATATCTGTCAATAATTTTCTTGGGTTATCAACCATAATTTTGTTTTACGTCAAGAATGAATTATCTAGAAAAAAATATGACACCACCAGATTTCTAATGCTCAGGATTTCATCAAAACACATGAAATTAAAAATGGTCTCAAGAAAGTGTTAATTATGATTGCATATTGCTTTGTACCACAAAAAAGTTTTCTCGATGAGTATACTTCAAAAGTAAAATTTTATAAACACAATTTTGAAAAAGGAAGAAGGTGCGCTTCTCGGCGCCAGTTTTAATTAACCGCATTGACACTAATGTTATTATGCTTGACAAGAGGATGTGATAAGCACGTAATAGATAGCTGCTAACCCACCTTACTTAAGAGATGTGCCCGCTGTCCGTTTGACAATATCATCTTCAGTGCAGAGGCAGGGAGGTTACGCAGTTCAAAAAATCATATCTTTTAAAGACAAAGAGGGCAAAGAACCAACACCGCCAACATGGAAGGAAGGGCTCTTATTATATGTCTCCTCTGGGCCAGTTTCTTTGCAAAAAGACCAGTAGCAGCTATGGAAAACATAAAAAGTGAGTCCAGAGAAACACACCTACCTTCTTTGCTCTTGAACAATCAAGGTAAGAGATATAAACCTCTCAAGTATTAAGTGTCGTCAATAAAAATCATCTAGAAGGTTCCTTCCATATCTTTGAGGCTAATTCGTTGACAAGATGATTTCCTTCTGTAGGATTCAATTTTCTCTTAAAGTCCATTAAAAAGTAATATTTGACTTGCTTCTTGCAGCTCTCGCTGTAAATATGTTAGATTTATGTTTTCTTCAGGTTCGGTTTTTTTTTTCCTTTTTTTTTCCCTTGATGTTGGCAAGTGGTTCATGGAGGTATTTGTCACCGACAGACGGCTGACAAGCCCTTTCCCGTTTCTTTGGAAGATATTGAAAAACCACAGGAGGTCATTCTTCTTTTGGGTCAAGGCTAGAGAACCATGTGTGCATCAAATAGTTTTCACCTGAAATTAAACCGAATTCTCCCGGAAACCGTTGGAGAAAGATCTCCTACCGTTAAAAAGTAATACTTTTAACCCTCTGCAGTATGTAATTTTCCCTATCAAACCGTCTCAAGGCCTTTTGAACACTTAGTTGGTAGAGAACCACAACACACAGAGGAAATTCACTTCTCATCACCACAGTTTTTATTCTACTCATTATCCTTGTCTGTGTCATTTCACTTGACCTCAGCGGCAATCACGGGTCTTTCGGTTATTGATATATCTCCAGTAAACACACCCATCGCTCTAGAAAAATCTGTAAAATTGAGATCATTTTTTAAAACAATTATTTGCCAAATAATCTTGGTGAAGAGGTAAATGACCTACACGAGACGGTTCCAATGTCTCATACGAGTCAGTTGTTTAAACCATTTATTGGCTTACTTAAAATAGCGGTTTAAAGGAGTTTATATGATCAAAATGAACTGTTAGTACCAAACTGTTTCGAAAAGTAATGACATTTCAAATAAATTGGTGACTCGAGCATAAAACCTATATCATGTTTTTAGGATTTTGAAATCATTGATAGACGAATGAACATAGGCATATTTATCCCTTTCTGTCTTCTTAAGTAGTCTTTCACTTACTCCTCTTGAATCTTTGCTTCCATCTGCCATAGTGAAAAAAATAAAAATAAATTAAATGAGATAAGTAAAACATACACCCCAAGTAAGCATTAAAAGATCGTACCAAGGGAAGCCATGTAACTTTGGGAGTGGCTGTTTGCTTCTACGCAGCAAATAGCGAAGAAGTTTGAAGTTTATCATCACAAAAAGGTTCAATGTCTAAATTTGCAGAGACGAAATCTAGTCCTGTTTCCTTTTTTTACTTAGAACTTAAATTTTAGATTGGAATCGTCAGGCGTAATTACACAATGTTATTCTTATCGTATTTCAGTTTGCAGTGTAAACGTTCCAAATTGTGCCTCGTGTCTCGACCATAGAACATGCCATAGATGCCAGGATGGCTTTACTTTGCTTGAAAGTTATTGGGGTGCAAGCTGTGTAGAAAGCTGTCCAGACGACTTCACTGCGATACAGACTGAGGACAACGGTGTCATCTGTAGAACTACTGAAGGTAGAAACGTCATGATTTCATCAAATGACACTCTCAGGAAAACCCTTCGCTGAAAAAAATGTCAAGATAATCCTCTTTTATAACATTGCAAGTATCAAGCTGTAAGACACAAATCTCAAGGGTGGTTATTGAAACACACATCATCTTTTGGTTTGCGAACTCCGTATAGACCGTCTTCAATTTAGCCAAATGTTTTGTCTGAAATATATATTTATGGCCATTGTCAAGACGGCCAATAGAGAGCATTTGGAAAAGAAACTTATTAAGCGAGAATTCTCGTGGTTCCTTTGTCTAAAACCGCGGCCCAAGTTAATCTTCATCCCAATAACCGACCCTAAAACTATAATAATTGGATTCATGAATTTTAGATCATAGAATATTAAAGGACGATGCATCTTCTTCCAAGTCGTTTACTTGTACGAATGACCCAATTTTCTGTCTCTTGGTTATAAATAGGATGCAGTAGGATACCGCATTGTTCCCAGTGTGAGGAGCAGTTCGATGATATCTGCGACAGATGTGAAGACGGGTATCTACTTATGCAGCAAGGGACTGG